TGAAGCAGAAGATATGCAAATATACTGATAATCCCATTACCTTCTTGAAAATTCCCTTGAAAAGTATTGTACTGTACTTCATCAACCTTACTGCGTAATTGTAGGAATGTATACCACAAAATATGAAAAAAGATGCAGAACTAGCTTTTAAGGAATGCGTTAAATCAAAATTAGCATCCCAGTGAAATCTATCCACAATAAAACAATTTCGTCATCTTAATGAACCAATTAAATGAATTTATCATCCGAAAAGAGAACCTCTTACAGCCCAGAAATGTTTCTGAGACCCTTCACAGTTCATGTGAAGAATAAAAAAACAATCACGAGAACTTATCAGGAACTCCTCCAACTGATTCATGCTGAATTTTTTGACAAGGAAGCTTACGAGTGGCAAAACGTATCAATCGTTAAACAAAAAATTAACGCTTAAAAAAAGATCATCAATACTCACTCTTGGCTTTGATGTCCCACACTTTGACTGCCCCGCTTTCATCAGCCGCAATCAAATGAGGGCCAAAAGGCATCAAACCTATCAAATTGGCAACGTGACCTTCGTAAACGGCTTCAATCTCAGTACCTCGACGCCAGGCATAAATCTTCTTGCCCACGCCGGTATAAACGTGGTACGCATCCGCAGCCATACAGAGAATCTCATCGTCCAAGGGTCGGCCAACCGTCAAGAGCCGAAAATTTTCTCCCTGACGAAATTTTCACAAAACTAAAGCATAAATATTCAAGAAACGAATAAATAAAACGCCGTGTGCAAAAAAAAGAGACCAAAATCAATTCTTAAAACGCTTGATCAATCAAGCTCAATTTGAAAGTTCACAACAAATCACCAATTCCCATTTGCTAAAAACAATTCTGGAAGCAACAGATATACGGTTACAGATACAGTGGGGCCCCGGATAATGGACTCTCTGCACAAAAAATGCCACCAATTTTCGTTCTCAAAAAGAGAGTGAATGATTTGGTTCGAAAAAAAAAAGAAATTTGCTGTGGGGGGAAAAGATTTGGGCATGAAGTTCATTGATATTTTCGATTTTGTTGGGCACTGTTTTTCCGTCTGAGTATTTTCTCTTTCATGCCATGTCATTCAATTTCAGGACAGGTACAGTATTCACAATTTAATCGAGAATTTGATAGGAAAATTCCCAATGGATCTGGAATGTGTTCGATTTTTCAAACAGCTTCGCATTACTGCATTGTATTTGTCCAAGAAAAATTATTCCAAGAAAGGGTTCTGGAATCTAACAGCCACCCCACAAAATGACATATTATATGGTTGAAGGAATTTTTGAAAAATTAATTCCGCCTGGAATGGATCAAGTCAATCAAGTGAGGCATCACAAGTTCTTTTGAAATCGTGGAGAATGCGGACTTTTCGAACATTCGATAGCGTATGAAAGATTTTTCACTTACCGTGTAGGTATGGATAGTGTTGCCAACACATGTCACTACCAAATAACCACCTCTGGGTCGAATGTAACGCAATTGGAGAGGCAAATGGTTGCTCACGAAGCCAACCGACTTATAACCCACAAAAGTACTCATCTTGAATCTTAATCCTCCTCCTTCCCGACCGAGATGAAAAAATGTTCACACACTTGGAATCATGCCAACGTAAGTTTACAAATAACACCTAACCGTCTCTCAATCTGTAAGAAAAGTACTTTTCACAATAGACGCAAGTGAGAAATTCACAATTCCTGCACAAAAAATAACGCGACTGATGCAACAACTTCCTTCAAAATGTTTCCCAAAAAAAAAAAAGAATATTGGCTCTTAAAACGATGTTTTAACTTCGGAAAAAAACCATGGAGAACTCAATCATTATTGGCTCGCAGTTGATATTCTATTTCGTTATTTTTTCAATTCATTTTGTAAGGGCAAGGGCAATAACGTGAAAAAAAGGACTAACAATCCAGCGTAAGACTTTTTTCCTTTCTGAGAAAAGAAAATGAAGGTGAATAATTGCATCCGTGGCGTTATTTGACAGAAGTACCCGGTATTACTAAGAAAACAGACGAATAACCCGTGCGTTAAAGTTTATCGCCCTCAATTCTTGCCCAAAATTCTTTCCGGAACAAACGACTCCAAGGCCGAACTTCCGGGTTGTTTGATCTTGAAAACAAACTCCGCAGGCGAAACACTCGCGTCTTTCGCATCCCCGAACACTGCCGACACGTACACAGACGAACCCGTAGTGATTTTCCTCTGCTCGTGGGCTGCCGCAATGGGTCCCACAATTTTCCGTTCCACCTTGTCGGAAATTAACGGAAAAAAATTAAAAGTTTAAAACGCGAGCATTCCAGAAAAAAATTACATCAATCAGCTTAGAAACACAAAAGGAATTTTTCGAATGAAATTGCGCGAAAGAATCCTTGATTTTTTTCCTTCTTATCTGAACGGAAATTAAAAATTAGGGTGATTGATTTGGAACCCTCCTAGGCTATATTTAATTGATGCGTCCGGCAAGGAATTCAAGGGTTCGAATCGTTACAACTCATTCTCATCTGAAACTCCATGCTCATGAAATGAACGACTAGAAAATTTGAACAAAATGCAAGAACACGGCACAGACATATCAGTAGCTTTTTTCAAGGTCACAAATTGCTGAAATAATCCCAGAAAAATTATTCTGCCCTTTATTTCGGTATTTTGACCGTCATTATTCCATAACACACCTCATGCTTGATTGATCTCGCACCGTAGTGAATATTATATCCCTTGGAAACCGCAGTCAATACTTCTTGTGTCCACGTGAGGGTGATTCCGTGACGATCCGAGGCCCGTTTGGCCCAAGCGATCATTTCGCGATCAGTGAGCTCAATAAGCTCGGATTGGGAAAACGGAAGGAAGTAGATCATCTCGTTGATGCGCCCGAGGAACTCGTCGCGACGGAAGTGACGCTTGAGAATCGGGCGGACGGTGTGCTCTTTGAACTCGTCCGATATCGTAACCACTTCTTCCGACAACCGCTTCTCGCTTTCCTCCAAATCCGATAACTGCTTGAATATAAATTTAAAATTTCATCACTCTTGAGAATCGGGCGGACGGTGTACTCTTTGAACTCGTCCGATATCGTAACCACTTCTTCCGACAACCGCTTCTCGCTTTCCTCCAAATCCGATAACTGCTTGAATATAAATTTAAAATTTCATCACGTAAAAAACGCACATGTGATCAATAATTTTTTTATTTCAAGAACATAGAATCGCAGGAGGAACCCACGCAGAAAGAAGGGCGAGAATGAGACGGGCGAGGAAAATCCTCTAATGATGCGTAACAATTACGAAATTTCTTTTAATTCCAAGGACAACACGTCATCCTTTTTGCCACAAGGACTTTGGGTAGTCAGAAAACATGCTCGAATATAAACGATTGTGTGTCGAATAATAGGCCAAGAGGTTCGAATTCAAGAAATTTATAATAGTAAAGGCAACAGCAATTTCAAGAATTCTGGACACAGCAAACTTAAGATTTCTTGAAGTCCATATACAGTAGTAGGGAATTAGGCACTGGAAACCTGGAAGATTGTATTCGAGAATCTAAAAAGGAAAGATAAAAATTCCGAACTTAAAATTACCGCCCAAAATTTCGGACATATTCTCTTTCAAATCAGTTTCTGAGGAAGAATAAATAATCTGGAAGTCTAACGGCATCAGTCATAATTATATTTTAATATTCTCCCACGAAGTGAAATCGTCTCACGATCAACCAACATACCTTTTTCATTGCCGGTTTCTCCAAGACGATTTTTTCATATCTTTCTCTCATTTTAACCTTGATTTCTCGTCGCAATTGCTCAGCATAAGCCGCTATTTCATCGCTCGCCAGATTGGAAGTCATAATGAAAATAGCATCTCTGAAAAAGCGCGATAATAATTCATGAAAAAATTNTGTGTCCACGTGAGGGTGATTCCGTGACGATCCGAGGCCCGTTTGGCCCAAGCGATCATTTCGCGATCAGTGAGCTCAATAAGCTCGGATTGGGAAAACGGAAGGAAGTAGATCATCTCGTTGATGCGCCCGAGGAACTCGTCGCGACGGAAGTGACGCTTGAGAATCGGGCGGACGGTGTGCTCTTTGAACTCGTCCGATATCGTAACCACTTCTTCCGACAACCGCTTCTCGCTTTCCTCCAAATCCGATAACTGCTTGAATATAAATTTAAAATTTCATCACATAAAAAACACACATGTGATCAATAAATTTTTTATTTCGAGAACATAGAATCGCAGGAGGAACCCACGCAGAAAAAAGGGCGACAATTAGACGGGCGGGGAAAATCCTCTAATAATGCGTAACAATTACGAAATTTCTTTTAATTCCAAGGACAACACGTCATCCTTTTTGCCACAAGGACTTTGGGTAGTCAGAAAACATGCTCGAATATAAACGATTGTGTGTCGAAAATAGGCCCAGACGCTCGAATTCAAGAAATTTGTAATAGTAAAGGCAACAGCAATTTCAAGAATTCTGGACACAGCAAACTTAAGATTTCTTGAAGTCCATATACAGTAGTAGGGAATTAGGCACTGGAAACCTGGAACATTGTATTCGCGAATCTAAAAAGAAAAGATAAAAATTCCAAATTTAAAATTACCGCTCAAAATTTTGGACATACAGTATTCTCTTTCAAATCAGTTTCTGAGGATGAATAAATAATCTGGAAGTCTAACGGCATCAGTCATAATTATATTTTAATATTCTCCCACGAAGTGAAATCGTCTCAAGATCAACCAACATACCTTTTTCATTGCCGGTTTCTCCAAGACGATTTTTTCATATCTTTCCCTCATTTTAACCTTGATTTCTCGTCGCAATTGCTCAGCATAAGCCGCTATTTCATCGCTCGCCAGATTGGAAGTCATAATGAAAATAGCATCTCTGAAAAAGCGCGATAATAATTCATGAAAAAATTCGGATTTATGAATGAAGCAGAATTCAAATCTATTGAGCGAAAATTGAAATCTTACTTGCACTCAATAGTCTTGCCTTTTCCGTCAGTCAAACGACCCTCGTCAAATAACTGAAGTAGAACAGTGAGAACGTCAGGATGCGCTTTGTCGATTTCGTCGAACAAAACAACAGCGTTCGGAAATTGTGCCAAACGCTTCGTCAAATTTCCTCCATCGTCGTGACCAATATAACCTACCAAAAAATGAGTTCGTTCACTTCGAAGTTCAGCATCTTTTTTTAATTGCATCCGGCAGATGTCGCTAAAATCAATGTCGGCTTGAAATGACTTCAGAAAATCAATACTGAACTAAACTAAGAGATCCGAACCCGAAGAACAAACGGAGACATAAACATCCTGGTACTCTAGTCTTTGCATTCGAAATGCAACTGGCTTTTTTCGACTGGGAGGTTCCACCTTGTTTTTTCTTACATTTGACAGGTGTCGCTTGAAACACTATTCAGATGAAAATAACTCAAATCAGAATATTTTAACTTGATCTCAACTGAGATGAACTCGATTAGCTTTTCTGGCACCTAATGAAAGCGCTGCTTTGTATCAACCGAAGTAAAACTTGATTCTTTCACGTCTACATGAGACGAAGTTTCCTGAAATGACAACTAAGCGAACGAACTGTACACGACAAGGATTAAGCCAATTTTCAAACTTGGTTCAAACCAAACCAACCCCACAAAATTAGTCTAAAAAAATAAACGCTTCAAAAATGCAGGCGAAATCCATGTAGACTTCAAGAAAATCACGAAATTCGGGACTTTCGTGTTTAGGATATTACGTACAGTAATGGAAAAGGGAAACTTGCCAGGAGGAGCTCCGATGAGTTTTGCGACTTCGTGCTTCTCTTGGTACTCAGACATGTCCAAGCGAATGAAGCTCCCTTCCGACTTCTTCTTCCTGCCGTGCAAATAATTGGCAACTTGCTTCGCCAACTCCGTTTTCCCGATGCCCGATGAACCCAGGAATAAGAAAACCAGCGGGTGTTCATCATCCACCCAGCCGTTTTCCTTACGACGAATGGCTGCGGCAACACAAGCAATCGCCGCTTCTTGTCCAACAATCTTTTCTTTCAGTCTACTCTCGAGAGGGTATCTTGAATTTTCAAAAAGTACATGAACAAGTACCGTATTAACTTCAATAGCTGAAATAATACTGTGCGAGAACTTTAATAAAGAGCCTGAAGTTCTTAGAAAAATTTCTTTCCGAATAAAGCGCGCGGCCCATTTTTGATTCCTGAAAATGTGTAATACTGTACTTTACAGAATTACAAAAATTAACCGCAGTAATTTATTTTCCTTTGAAAATTTATTGCAGACCTACATTCAATGTGAATTCATTGTCTCATTATTTCTTATTGTTTTAAATCATCTGTCGTACTTTCAGCTTGTTTATTTGTATTAATTCCATTATTCTCTGAAAAAGTGCCTTGAGAAATTCATCAATTCAAGCGACACCCAAAAAATTCCGAATGGAATCATGCAATAAGAAAACGTCAGGCATTCAAGTGAAAAGAACAATACAAGAACTGTATCTCCAAAATCTTTGATTTGGGAAAGAACCCGACGAAAATGTATGTTTTTCAAAATTTTTGCAAAAAGCGTAGACATTCCACGCTACAGTACAGTACATTAATGGGATTTCTGGTGGAAGGTTGAGGAATGCGAACCCCTGCATGGTTCCCAAGATGATTACACTCAAGTTACAAAAGCTTACCTCCGTCTTTCTTCCGCCTCCTTCTCGCGCTGTTTTGCAGTGAATTTGAGGGTATCTTGAATTTTCAAAAAGTACATGAACAAGTACCGTATTAACTTCAATAGCTGAAATAATACTGTGCGAGAACTTTAATAAAGAGCCTGAAGTTCTTAGAAAAATTTCTTTCCGAATAAATCGCGCGGCCCATTTTTGATTCCTGAAAATTTGTAATACTGTACTTCACAGAATTACAAAAATTAACCGCAGTAATTTATTTTACTTTGAAAATTTATAGCAGACCAACATTCAATGTGAATTCATTGTCTCATTATTTCTTATTGTTTTAAATCATCTGTCGTACTTTCAGCTGGTTTAATTATATTAATTACATTATTCTCTGAAAAAGTGCCTTGGGGAACTCATCAATTCAAGCGACACCCAAAAAATTCCGAATGGAATCATGCAAGCAGAAAACGTCAGGCATTCAAGTGAAAAGAACAATACAAGAACTGTATCTCCAAAATCTTTGATTTGGGAAAGAACCCGACGAAAATGTATGTTTTTCAAAATTTTTGCAAAAAGCGTTGACATTCCACGCTACAGTACAGTACATTACTGGGATTTCTGGTGGAAGGTTGAGGAATGCGAACCCCTGCATGGTTCCCAAGATGATTACACTCAAGTTACAAAAGCTTACCTCCGTCTTTCTTCCGCCTCCTTCTCGCGCTGTTTTGCAGTGAATTCCTTCTCAGCTTGCGCCAAAATTCCATGAATCGTTCCGTCGGCAACCGAATAATCGATCGGCCGATGACCCAAGGCATTCAACTAGAGAAATATCAATTTACGATTACTGTACACACTTTTGACTCGACGCTTTTAAAACTCGTTTTTTTTTTTATAAATGGCATCGGCTTGAAAATTCCAGATATCGTATTGAAGGCGCAAGGATAACCACGGTAACCGCGTCGGAGAGGTTTTAATTTTTGCTTTCGCGAAAATGCCCCAGGCTGACTAGAAAAAAATATTCCATAATCGAAAATGTGAATTTCAAATGAAAATTACATTTCTGTGGTCCGACCAAATTACCATCACACGAGTCACTTATATTTTTTAAAGAATATCTAGTCCTTCTTATTATAATCAAAAATGGGATCAATATCAAAAAAATAAATAAGGAGAAACTAAGTGTAGTACACTATTCAAAAACAGGAAAACAAGAACCAACCAAAACACTTCTTATTTTACTAGAAGTTAGATAAAGGTTTTATTAAGACTACAGTACAGCAACTGAAATTAGAGGCAATGATCCGGAAATTAATAGGACTTATTTGACGGATATTGTGACTTTTTCGGTCAAAGATACAGAGCGAATTCCAGCCAAGTTTCTTTTCCAACTCAAAAAAAAAACATCCAAAAGACACAATACTGTATCTACTGTATTTAGAATTAATCAAAAATCTTCCTCAAACCTCAAGCGGATTCGCCCCGGCTTTGACCAGAACGTCGACGCATTTTTCGCAGTCGGCCAAAACGGCGTAATGCAATGCCGTGCAATTTTTGTACGATTTCGTGTCATTCAGCAAATCCGAGAACTCCTTCTCCCGTACAATCATGGCTTCGACAGCCGGCATTTTTAATTCTCTGCCAACTCGGAATGGATTCGAAAAGTCATCGCCAATGTCAGGATCCGCGCCGCCTTTCAGCAAAGCAGACACAGCTTCCGCTTCTCCATTTATAGCTGCGACGTGCAAAGCAGTCCAGCCAAGTTTGTGTCTCTCGTTCGGATCCACAGATCCATTGGCAAGCACGGCCTTGATAAATAAACGATAAAATTGTAGGACAGAGTGGACCAGTTTAGTTGGTGATTTTCAAAACAGAGGAGATGCGGGGTTAGGCGAGCGAGAAACTCAAATCAAATCGAAGAGATGACTTGTCCACATGATGGACACCATCGCCATCACGAAAGAGAACAAGCAAACCATGTGATCGTGTATTTCTACGCTGGAAATTTCAGCTAAAACTGGAGCTGGGCATAATGCAAGAAGCTTAACGTCTTAAATGGCAATGAATTGATCGAAATCATGGCAGCCTCTATGTTTCTGGTCTCAATCATACTTTCCAGCAACTGGAAAAGGTGTAAAAAAAGGATGGAGAACGCCTCCTATGAATATATAAAATTCAATACAGACAATCCTCGATGTAGTGCCACAAATTACCGGGAAAAAGTATGTAATAAATTATACGTTTTCACTGAACTTACAACGAAAAGCAATCTGCATCGTCCGGGAATCGAACCCGGGCCGCCCGCGTGGCAGGCGAGCATTCTACCACTGAACCAACGATGCTTCGTTGACAAACAACACGCATTTTTCGTTACTATGAAGGCAAACAATACACTACAGTACTTCACTTCACAAGCCACCTGAGCAGCGAGAGCAGTGCTGTACGATGAAATACTGTACTGTATTACATTAGAGCCACACTTCCACAAACGCGCATTCATTTTAAATGCTATTAAATGCTCAAGCCAATTGAGAATTAGGATCGAAGCAATGAAAAAGAGTGCTGTGTTCACCTTGATTTCAGAAACGTTGCCATCCCTGGCAGCAGCTAGAAGCCTTTTCACAGCAGGCTTCTCCCTTCGGGCATCACACCACGCCACAACGACACCGAGAGTCCAAAAGGCACCGAATCCGTACACCAAATCACTCCACCTGTTCCATTTCCCATCCCAATCACGTTTAACGACCACACTGGACACTGATTGTCCCTGGTCTTGGTAATTAAAGCTCGTACGAGCGAGTCTGGCGAAGTTCCTTCGCGGAAACTGTCTCGCACAACGCGACAGTTTGATCGCGTTCGAGGCAAACATATTCCCTCCGAACTGATTTCACTGACGAAAGTCGAGGCACCCAAAAACCATTTCTTTCAAATTCGGATTTTCCATTGCTGCGGCTACACGCTCTTTGTCATTCAGCTGTTTGTTAACTGTGGAATTCGGAAAAAAATGTTAAAAAGGCAGTGTACAAAGTCAATTATAGGCCGCACTTTTCCATCAAAAATCACGGTCACAAACGCTCGTACAGAATACACTCAGAAATAAATATTTGCGTTCAGGGCGCACTGACTACGACTGCAGCCTTTCTTCAGAGATAATGAACCACATTCTTCTTGACTTGAATTTAATGAGGATAGAATTAACAAAATAAATAAGAACAGAATAAGTCTCTATTGTGCGTAGTGTAATTATTTTATGTTCATTAATTTTCTTCACGCTTTAGTACACTTCAGATTTTTCAAACAATTCTGCTCACTTTCCGGTGCTGTATCATGTGCCCCCTCAGCTATGAAGATATCGACTTTTGCCTTCCTCGATAAGGCTTGCTCCAAACGAACTCTCACGCACAATCCAATCAGCGTGGCCAGAGAACAATGTGGTACAGTCGGTACCAGGGTCACTGTCACCAACACGTCCTTGCTGTACTTACACCGCGCAACCTTGAAAGAAATTGAAAATTTTTGCATTAGGAAAAGTCGGAAAAATACATTCAAGAAGCAACGAGCCATAAAAGATGAACGTTTCTGGATTTCTTGAACCACGCTGGAATAAATCGCAGACACAAAAATAAATTCGCTCTGAAAAAAACAGCACTTCCGAAACTTGGCAGAAACCCATGGTCAGGGAATTATTTTCCACTTCTCCGCGATTCGAAAAAATACACTTCCTCGCAGAGAGACAAAAGAGTTACTGCGGAGAGGAAAAGTTACAAACCTCACTAACTTTATTTTTTTTAATTGACACAAAATATCAGTGCACGTTATACATTTGATAATTTAAAATTCAGAGTTCAAGCATACTGATACCTGTACTTCTGATCAACACAATAATTTGATTAATCATAGAACAAAAGGCAATCAAACGAACGCAGTAATTACTCACATTTCCTGGACAGAGATAGAAGAGTAAGAAAAATAATTCAAGTTAAACGCGTTCAATGGGAATAAGATAATGAATGAAACACGAGAATAATCACCCGACTCCGATTTTGAATAGATTTCACGCAATGGAAGTCTTCAATTCCAAATGAGAATTTCCTTTTTTTTTGAAGGCAAAAGATTGGTGATGATTTTATGGTTATTGGTGCCTAAAATGCGACCAAATAAAGAACTGTGAGCGCCTTTGCATTTGCGAAATTCCCCTCCCCCGTTTGAGAAAGGCATAGAATATTCCACGTACGATATGCTACAAACAAACAAACATGAAAAATGAATAAAAATTCCCAAAATGTGTAACTCACGGTGACGCCGTCTTCCGACACGACGCCGAGTTCTTCAAGATCTTGTGGTTTCTCCGGGTCTCGAATCGTCTTTATTGCGTCTAAAATCGTGCAAAAGCTTCACAAATACTAATGCCACTAAAAAAACAACCATGCATCACAAACATTGGTCTGCTTCGAAACTCACCGTAAACTTCGTACTTCAGCTCTTCCAGTTCTCCATCTGTAACAATTTCGTCATTCATGTCGAAACAAATTTAGGAGCCATGTCTGACAAATAATTTGCTTTCCTGAAAATAAAATCCGCATGAATCGCAAGCATACAAAAGATTTTAAAACAGTAACAGGATTCTTATCGCAACACCATCACATCCCAAATGGACCACGTTTTTTGAGATTTCAGAGGGTTCCCAAAAATTTTTCTGATGTCATTCCAGTTTAAATCTGATCATTGTAGATCACTACGAAAAGGTTATTTCAGGGAGGAACTTTCCCTGAATTCAGAGTAAGAAACCTTTTCCAATTTCCCGGATTAAAGAAAAGCTTTTCTAATTAATTGGCCGAATTCAATTCAGATTGTAACCAACGTCCCCATATACGTTTCACTCATGATTTGTATGCGGGGTTAGGCGAGCGAGAAACTCAAATCAAATCGAAGAGATGACTTGTCCACATGATGGACACCATCGCCATCACGAAAGAGAACAAGCAAACCATGTGATCGTGTATTTCTACGCTGGAAATCCAGCTAAAACTGGAGCTGGGCATAACGCAAGAAGCTTAACGTCTTAAATGGCAATGAATTGATCGAAATCATGGCTGCCTCTATGTTTCGGGTCTCAATCATACTTTCCAGCAACTGGAAACGGTGTAAAAAAGGATGGAGAACGCCTTCTAGGAATATATAAAATTCAATACAGACAATCTTCGATGTAGTGCCAAAAATTACCCGGAAAAAGTAATAAATTAAACGTATTCACTGAACTTGTTACGAAAAACAGTCTGCATCGTCCGGGAATCGAACCCGGGCCGCCCGCGTGGCAGGCGAGCATTCTACCACTGAACCAACGATGCTCCGTTGACAATCAGACGGCATTCTTCGTTATCATGAAGGCAATAGTACAAAACACTACAGTTCTGCACTTCACAAGCCACCTGAGCAGCGATGGCAGTGCTGTGCGATGAAATACAGTACTGTATTAAATCAGAGCCACACTTCCACAAACGCGCATCCATTTTAAATGCTGTTAAATGCTCAAGCCAATTGAGAATTTGGATCGAAACAATGAAAAAGAGTGCTGTATTCACCTTGATTTCAGAAACGTTGCCATCCCTGGCAGCAGCGAGAAGCCTTTTCACAGCAGGCTTCTCCCTTCGGACATCACACCACGCCACAACGACACCGAGAGTCCAAAAGGCACCGAATCCATACACCAAATCACTCCATCTGTTCCATTTCCCATCCCAATCACGTTTCACGACCACACTGGACATTGATTGTCCCTGTACTTGGTAATTAAAGCTCGTACGAGCGAGTCTGGTAAAGTTCCTTCGCGGAAACTGTCTCGCACAACGCGACAGTTTGATCGCGTTCGAGGCAAACATATTCCCTCCGAACTGATTTCACTGACGAAAGTCGAGGCACCCGAAAACCATTTCTTTCAAATTCGGATTTTCCATTGCTGCGGCTACACGCTCTTTGTCATTCAGCTGCTTGTTAACTGTGGAATTCGAAAAAGAACTTTAGAAAAAGGCAGTTAACAAAGTCAATTATAGGCCGCACTTTTCCATAAAAAATCACGTTCACAAACGCTCGTACAGCATACACTCAGGAATGAATATTGGCGTTCAGGGCGCACTGACTACGACTGCAGCCTTTCTTCAAAGATAATGAATCAAATTCTTCTCGACTTGAATTTGATGAGGAATGGAGTAAACAATATTACTGTATCTTGAGAGTTGAAATGCTCTCCGGGTGGTTGCGGATTATAATTTTGTTTTATTTCTCGAAAATAAGGCTCTATTGTGCGTTGTGTAATTATTTTATGTTCATTAATTTTCTTCACGTTTTAGTACTTCAGATTTTTCAAAAAATTCAGCTCACTTTCCGGTGCTGTATCATGTGCACCCTCAGCAATGAAGATATCGACTTTTGCCTTCCTCGATAAGGCTTGCTCCAAACGAACTCTCACGCACAATCCAATCAGCGTGGCCAGAGAACAATGTGGTACAGTCGGTACCAGGGTCACTGTCACCAACACGTTATGAAGATATCGACTTTTGCCTTCCTCGATAAGGCTTGCTCCAAACGAACTCTCACGCACAATCCAATCAGCGTGGCCAGAGAACAATGTGGTACAGTCGGTACCAGGGTCACTGTCACCAACACGTCCTTGCTGTACTTACACCGCGCAACCTTGAAAGAAATTGAAAATTTTTGCATTAGGAAAAGTCGGAAAAATACATTTAAGAAGCAACGAGTAATAAAAGATGAACGTTTCTAGATTTCTTGAACCACGCTGGAATAAATCGCAGACACAAAAATAAATTCGCTCTGAAAAAAAACAGCACTTCCGAAACTTGGCAGAAAGCCATGGTCAGGGAATTATTTTCCACTTCTCCGCGATTCGAAAAAATACACTTCCTCGCAGAGAGACAAAAAAGTTACTGCGGAGAGGAAAAGTTACAAACCTCACTAACTTTATTTTTTTAATTGACACAAAATATCAGTGCACGTTATACATTTGATAATTTAAAATTCTGAGTTCAAGCATACTGATACCTGTACTTCTGATCAACACAATAATTTGATTAATCATAGAACAAAAGGCAATCAAACGAACGCAGTAATTACTCACATTTCCTGGACAGAGATAGAAGAGTAAGAAATAACTGTGAGCGCCTTTGCATTTGCGAAATTCCCCTCCCCCGTTTGAGAAAGGCATAGAATATTCCACGTACGATATGCTACAAACAAACAAACATGAAAAATGAATAAAAATTCCCAAAATGTGTAAGTAACTCACGGTGACGCCGTCTTCCGACACGACGCCGAGTTCTTCAAGATCTTGCGGTTTCTCCGGGTCTCGAATCGTCTTTATTGCGTCTAAAATCGTGCAAAAGCTTCACAAATACTAATGCCACTAAAAAAACAACCATGCATCACAAACATTGGTCTGCTTCAAAACTCACCGTAAACTTCGTACTTCAGCTCTTCCAGTTCTCCATCTGTAACAATTTCGTCATTCATGTCGAAACAAATTTAGGAGCCATGTCTGAAAAATAATTTGCTTTCCTGAAAATAAAATCCGCATGAATCGCAAGCATACAAAAGATTTGAAAACAGTAACAGGATTCTTATCGCAACACCATCACATCCCAAATGAACCACGTTTTTTGAGATTTCAGAGGGTTCCCAAAAATTTTTCTGATGTCATCCCAGTTTAAATCTGATCATTGTAGATCACTACGAAAAGGTTATTTCAGGGAGAAATTTTCCCTGAATTCAGAGTAAGAAACCTTTTCCAATTTCCCGGATTAAAGAAAAGCTTTTCTAATTAATTGGCCGAATTCAATTCAGATTGTAACCAACGTCCCCATATACGTTTCACTCATGATTTGAAATTTTCGACCTTCGAATGCAAATTAACTGCTTGGACCTCCTCTAAAAATACGAATTAAATAAATAAAAAATGATAATATCGCACAAACACTGATGAAACGTTGGTACATTTGGAACATGCCAACGGAATCTGACATTAATGAAGTTCACTGCTACGCCACAAAATACCCTTATTCGTCTCCGACCATTTTCAAAGCTTCGAAGAACACATCGAGCACAAGAAACAATCTTGTGGGATCACAAAAACTTCGAATACGTTCTGAGATCAATCGAATAAATCCGCGACTGCGAGCGGGATTATTTTTGACATCCACTTCGACAGGCTACTTTCAATATCTAATGAACACTTGAACATCACAAAACCACACACGATAGTTTTGAAACAACCCAAAAAAAATCTGCCTCTCAAAGAACCGGAATTTGAGAAGATCCACATAATTTTGGAACCTTCACGATCGAATCCTCAATATTCTGAGGGCTCAACCTTCCATTCGTAAGAATATTTCTTACTTTTCCAACAATATTCGCTGAAACGCGTTCACAAAAAAATGACACTGATCCTATTGGCGGAATGTTTGAAAGGTTAAAATTCTGAAACCACATCAACAGGGACGATTTTCTCAAGCCTTGCTCAAAACTCAATGCATAAAAATGAATGCAAAAAATCTCAGCCATCGAGTGGAGGCCCGAGGTAAACCATAGAAACCTCCGTGTTCCCGTAAACCGCAGAGACGCATGGGTAAAGAAGCCGGTCGGGAAGACCTAAATCGAAGAAGCTCGTCAAAATTTACGCAAAGAAAAAAATTACAATTTCAAAATACTTGAGAAGCGAATACGCGGGACACTTTCGAGTACAATTTCAGGAACAAAGCATCAGCATTTTTTTTTACATAGATAGAAATTCTAATGAAGTTTGAAACATCGAAATTCCCCGAGAAGATCCTGAGTTTCTAATTTTACCAGCAGTTTCTCAACAAAAGCCTCCTCTAATTTTTGCAGAATTTACGGAAACAACAAAAACACGTCATCCTATTATTTTTTAAATAAATTAAAGCGAGCTTTCGCCACTTCCCACGCCATTTATTACACTTTTTAATCCCACGACTGATCAAACAATAAATTGACAAGACTATTTACTTCAACGTTTTTAAACGAGAAAAGAAAAGCTTTAAAAGCGTAAGGGGTTTCTCACGAACTCGGAAAATTTCTCAATGAAAACTAACAGTCCCATTTCAACAGCTCATTTCGTATTAGTGGAGAAAAATAAAATTCACTCACCGCGGAATGCAACACCAAGAAATTCGTAGTCTTTCTCAAACGAAAGAGTGCTGTCTTCGCAATCCAAGATCACTCTGATACGATCTCCAACCTGCAATTCAATTTTACAGATGTATTCAAACATTCTTTTTATAAATTCGGCGTTCTCGTCTGCCATCTAAGAAATTATAGAATAAGATCGAAAAAAACTCCAGCGTTTACAACTCCAATATCAACACAACTAAACAAAATGCGTACACCATAAATCAATTGATGAAAAAGCTGACCTGATACTTCGGAGGGTTGTTAAGTTGGGGGTAATTTCCTTGAGAATCCCCACCATGAAGCAAGTGATTGTCCACCAAATTCCAGCCCCATCCATTGTCGTCAGATCCCAATAATGGCACATATCCGTGGCATTGCAAATTCAGATCTTTCGTCGCAATTCCGACTACCGCCACTGTGCCCAAAGGACCTTCCCACACAACTTCCCAAGCGTGTCTCCCGGTGCGGAATCCGATTTTGGCTCTCGTGGCATCCGTGGATTGGGCCACAGGGTTTCTAAAAGTCGTTTCAAACACGTGAAAGTCACGACAACGCATCCACATTTTCTTTCAGAACTGTTCAGTTAATTTTCCATTACATACTGTGTACTTGAATATACAGTATCACCAAGAATAAACTTGATATCTTAAAATTAGTTAAGGAAATTCTGTTCTCGCCCAGCATAATTTTTCAGAAAACTGAAATTTAAAAGGACGTTTCAATCCCAAATTTTTAAAAATCTTGGTGAATGGATTTCAAAGGATCGACATTTCTATTTCACTGGTAGAGTACACAACGAAATCGTTTTTCAATTCCCGGCCTAATACGCACACCTCATCTTCAGACACTGAAAAACTGCAGTATTTCAAAAGAAGGGGACACCGGACTTTGAATTTAGATATAAATTCAATCTGAATTCAATTAATTTTCAATTTCGATTAAAAAACGATTTCTCTTTCGTCTCAAAATTGGTTTAAAATAACCTAATAGAATCATGTAAGACGCTCATTTTAATTTCTAAAAAAATGTGAAAATGTACGCATTCACGGTATACTTGTTGCAAAGGAGAGCAAAAGTCCTAACCTATGCAAAGTGAATGCCGTCGACTTGACGTAAATATTCCTGGAACAATCGTGCGGATTCCAGGCGTGATGAAACGCCCTGAGCTTCGCTTTAAACGTCGGGCAAACAGACAGCAAGTGATCCAAGCCAGAGTCTTCCGGAATAGCCGTCAAACACCACGTCCGCCACACGTCGCCGTCTTCGTCATTCAACACGTGGTTCCATCTCCGACACACCAACGCGCAATTGGGCAATGCAGAGAGCTCCAGGAAGGAGAAGATCAGCTCCAAAACGCTGTCGGGAAGGTCGTGTATTCGCGTGAACGAAGGAGCCATTCTCGTTCCCGCATGTTTCGCATGCGCAAAGATACTTTCATCACAGACATCTCGTGGACTCCATCACAACACTTCCTTGGCTCATAAAACACTGCACAAAACGGTACATTCAGTAATATACTCTAGGAAAAACGGAGAGGCCGCAAAATATAGCATAGTTCAATCGTACCTTTACACTTTAACATTCAATTTGTCGCGCGAATACATTAACTTTCTCGGAAAACTCTCAAGCTCAGAAACATAAGCACTCGCAATTCTGAAAAAAAAACTAAGAAGTGACAGGCATACACACGCCCAGTCAAAAAATGTAATCCTCAGTTCCGTTTGAAAGACGCTCGGTAGTAGAAAAAATTGCTGTCCTCCATTAAATTAAAATTGAACGAAACAAAAATATGATTTAACGATATTCATATGTACTTAGGTGGGGTCCAGCTAATTAATGCTTAGATCAGTTCAGTTTAGACTTGGATCAGAGTAGCTTCGGTTGTGATTCAAGTGAAATCTCTGTCCCAATACAGAAAAACAACGTTGAGCGTTGGAGTAAAATGCAGAAGCATCCAAGGCGTAGTTTAATCTTACCTTTAAACTTGAATATTTACTTCGTCAAGCGAATAAATGAACTTTCTACTGTATCATAACTCTGTAAGTTCAGAAACAAAAGCACTTGCCATTCTCGAAAAAATTTAACGGGTAATACATGCCAACAACAAATGTCCAGATAAATAAAATTGCATCTAATTAGATCCAAATCTATACGAGTTTAGATTTAGTTTAAATCAGCCGTTTTCTTGAATCAGCCGAAAGCAAGGAAATGAAGAATACCAACAAAATATTGTAATGCAATTTCAAATAATTCCCCGGCAATAACTAGAACCAATGCAGACGTAAGCGAGAATGAAACGTATAAACTGAACATAATCACAGCCAGTCTCTAACAGCCTCCGCGTAATCCTTGTCTTCAATGAAGGATTTGTCCACGGACCTGCAAATGGGATAGAGATAATTAAACAATGACGTATTTTATAAATCGAGGTGATGAATGTACTTACTCAATCATGTGATCCCCACAAAGAAGACACTGAGATGCAACGATTTCGTCTTTTTCTGCCTTCAGCTGATCACGTCTGGAGAAACCCGACAGGCCTCCACTATTGACTGAAGCAGTTTCGTCACGCAAATGCATTGCTGCTAGTTGTCTCTGTATAATCGAGTCAGGAGTTAGGAACATACATGGTATTCATACAACAAGACACATTTTAAAATGTTTACTCTGACTAGCAAATAAGAAATCAAGTCGAGGTTTTCCTTATTTGAAAAGATTTCTTCCTCTTCTTCAGAATCGAAATTCAAGGAAGCGAGCTGCATTTCAACATACTGTAATACCAAATGTAGCGAACACACAAACCTTGATATCGTTTAGTCGATCCTGTTGATCCTTGCCCAGAATAGGATACAATTCTCCAGACATACATTCAGAATGAAACTTGTGTGAACAAGGGAAAACGTAAAATCCCTCCACGACTAGAGGATAACCGCAAACCAAGCACTCGTCTTCCGGGCCCACAGCGCAATAATGATTTTGAAATTGCGCAATCTCCTGCCGAATCAGTTCCGTGCTCTTCGTTGCCTCTTCCATTTCTTCTTGCAACGCTTCAATGTGCTTTGAATAATCCTGGAAACGTAATCAGAAGAAATATTTGAAAAAAACCTCTGAAAGGTAGCTGGAATTATTAAAACCGCAATGAAAAAAAAATCAAACGTAATAAAAGCATGATTTAAATTACATTAAACTTATCTTCTGGAAGCCGAAATGTTCAATCAAAAAACTCTAAATTTTTGCAGGGGCAAAGTAGAGAGGCTAGATTTTTTTTAAATAATTTTTCGAGGTTTTTCGAATCTACTACGAATTTATAATGGTTCTTGGCACTGGTAAAAATCCACAAAAAAAAAACTAGAAAAATAAAAAAAAACCGTTTCCATAACGAAAATAAATGAAAATTTCCGGAATTATGAGAAGCGATTTTTAATTTTTTTTTATCAAAGTTGCTGAAAATGTGGCACGATTTTTTTATGGTACTGAGTAATGTTTTTCTCGTTCCAAAATTTTCGAAGTTAGATTTTATTCATTCTAAATATCAGTTTCTTTATTTTTTCAGGAATCATGAAATAATTTGACGGGATCTCAAACCCATTGTTAATTGAATATGCAGCTCGAAGGCTTCTGGATACAGGTAAACTATTTTTACCTGTATCCCGGTATACTACATGAAAAGTCTCAGTCGTCTCCATTTCAACCCAAGTTAACAAAAATTACAACACTCGTCACGAAATGATCATTATATGTGGATTTGCTCTATAGCGATTTTCCCTGTTAAAAAAATTTGTTTGGGTCCCATTGGAGTTTCTCTCCATTTTTAGAGGCTCTCTACGACGAAATTCTCTCCATAACGAGTTTATTCTTGTCCCCTGAATTTCGAGCAAGAGAAGAAGTAGAGAAGGTACATTTTTTAAATAATGTTTGTCGGTTTCTCGGGAGAATTTTGTTGTAGAGAATCTCATAGGACAAACAAAAAATCGTTCACCGATAAAATTGTTGTAGAAAGAGTCTTCCAATATTGGACTAACAACTGAAACAGTATCAGTCCATTAACCGAGACACCACCGTATTTTCAAAACTCGCTTCTTACGCATCAATCATCACAAACTTCGCAGGCATTACTCACCTGAAGAGCAGAACAGACTGCATCCTTGAAATGATCAATAGTTGCGAAGTCGGGGAAAAAGGGCAAGATGTCCTCCAGCTTCAAAATGCCCCCCGGGCACCGATTCAAAAAGGCCACCGCCGCCGCAGCCACGTCTCCTCCGCTGCCGCCTCCACCCTCAACAACTCGTCTCGCAATTTTCAACCACAATCGCTTCCTCCTGTCCGCGTCGTCTTCTTCCGAATCGTCGGCAACAGCTTGAGCTGCAGCGATATCCGGCGGATCACCAGTCAAAGCAGCATCCACGGCTTTCTCGTGAAGTCCCATCGCAGCGAGGATGATTACTTTGGCAGCTCGGAGCTGTTTCCGGGCTTCGGCTTGATTCGACATCCGGGAATAGTCCGTTTCTTCGCACACACGAAGCGCGTAAGCTGCACTGTAGTTGATGGACGCGCTGTCTCTGCCTTGTCCTTCCAAATATGCCTGGATGAAAAGAAAAACAAAACAAAACTTTGACAACGAAAGCTTAAGCAGCGGATACAAATCTAAAAACACGTTCCAACAACTGGTGGCCTCGAATACGACTCTTCGATAGCTGTCCAAACGTGCAATGGAACACCGGTAGAATATTGGAATTTTCTTCAATTTTCTTAAAATAGTTTCTATACGCAGCTCCAAATTAATTATACTGTAATTCGACCAGTGAATATCCTTCCAGAAAATTAAAAAAATAATTTTCAATTATTTTTAATGCTACTGCAAATTGTTCGCTAAAACTGCATACTAAAAAAGCTCCTGCATGACGCTTCCCATAAAATAGAGTTCTTTCAGTGATTCAAAACACTACAGAAAACACAAAAATAAATGGAAAATTTCGAAGTAATTCAAACAGGAAGAATTTGAATTCGGTTGGAAATTGTTTGCTACATTACAAATTAGAATACTGTAGGTCCTGCATGAAGCTCAAAATAAAGTACAGTACTGTACAATATAATTCAGAAAGTGATTCAAAACGCTCCAGAAAATTTAAAATAAATTGTAAAATGCAAAGGAATTCAAACAGGAAGAAAAAAATCAAACCATACGCAACCTAAAGAAAGAGGTCGATTTTAACGTCACCAACTCAAATGAAATTATGAGGCTTCAGTGCAAACCATATTAAAAGAATTTGATTTACTAAAAAAAAACAGATCCTCACCACAAGTTCACTCAAGTCCGACGCCCCACTCGCCAAAAGCCGGACCAACAAATTGTGCATCCCAGCGTCCCTCGCGTCCAGGGATTCCACGCAAAAATTCAAATACCGCAATAGATGCTTGATCGTCATCATTTCCGCGTCCTTGTCCCCGAGTTCGGCAGCAGATGTCAAGGCAGCAACTATTGGAGAAACTAGCGTTGCGGGAACCAATCGTCTTCCTTGAGCAATCAATAAATCCACGGTTTGCCGCGGGGCTGCTGTGAGAAGCGCCGCTGTGTGCTTGTAAAACGCATCCACGGACCCGTGTTTTCCAAGAACATCGAGAGCTGTCAACAATAAACAGAATAATGAGTTAGGTTTCAGAAAAACACATTCACAGATACTGTACTATAAGAAAGCAAAAATGTTTCACTAATAAACCTTACGATTTCCACGGATCGCCTCCGTTTTTTTTCTTCAACTCAGAAAAGATTGCTTCTCAGGCAAATTAGCGCAAATGAAAATTGACCACACAGTCATTTTTATTCACATGAATTCGCAACCGAAGTAGGATTTATCATTTTCGTCTTTTACACTATTTACAGTACTGAAACACTCGACGGAAGAGTTTAAAGACTTGAAACATAAATCAGTTCGCCATTTTCAGCGTTTTTCTCAGAGAATAACGTTCCAAGTTTTTTTTTTTTATCTCGATTATTCATGCAATACAGAAAAAAAAGTTTTAAAAATAAACAAAACTCCTATTCAACCAACAAAAAGATGCACATGAAAATAAATAGGAATATTCCAACAACCTAAAGAATAATTTCCCCGGGTGATGTGATGCGTCAGAACTTTGGCAAAATCTCGCATTTCCGCAGCAAAAAACACCAGATTTTCGGAATCTCCGTGAGATGATAGTAGCTCATATATCACGTTTTTGCACTCACTCACGGCCTCCTAAACAAGAAACACGGGCATGAAAATCAATTTCACAAGAAAAAAAATAACGTAGCCTCAACGAACTCCTTATTAAATGTCTTGAAAACACATCATAATCTGAACTGAGCCTAAATACCTCGAACTGAAGTTAGATGACCTAAGAGTACGTGAACTAAATTAGAACATAAACTGAAATGAACAAACAAAACTTTGAACAAACCGAAAGTAAGGAGCCGAAGTTCCCAACCAACCTAAATATTTGACCAGAGAAAAACGGAATAAAATTCAGTCGAAATTCTTTTATTGAATACGATATTCTCGACATCGGAACGAAAAGCATCAAACCCAGTCTGAACTCTCAGAATTTACAATAATTTTGATTCTCTAATCATTATTCGCTTAATCAATTCAGGGAGTGTTTGCAACATCGTGAATTTCTTTTTAGTAAAAGTTACCTTGACCGTCTGCAAGCTGAGGAACTTTTTAACAACTTCTTTGGCAGCCAAATATTCTTCGCTACTCGTGGCACCTTCGTCGAATTTGCTGGCGTCCCTCAGCTCACCGACAGCATTCAATTCCAGTTCCAGCAACCAAGTCACGAGCATCACACTCTGCGGCTTCTCCATGGCCTTCAGGCCATCCAACTTATTCCGCAAATACGTCCTCAAAGCTTCTCTTTTGCTCTCATCCATGAACCTCAGAGTGATTTCTTCAAAGGATCGCTGGGTTTTGGCGTAGAGAACAGCACTTTCGTTGAATTTTCCAGCAGAGAAGAGAGAATCGGCTTCGCAGGAAGTAACGGCGTCGGTCGCCATTCGATTGGTTTCCGCGTATTTTCGGGCCAAGTCGAACTTGCCTTGGTCCATGAAAATGCACCATACGTCACGAGATTCGTCTTTGATAGTGTACCGAAAGACAGACATTTCCGCGAATGCCCATAGAGTTCTCGAGTGCGGGTCTCTTGACACCCCGACAACAATTCCGTGATTCTAGCGAAGGAACATTCAAATTGTTTCATTAATACCACAACTCGAAATGTCATAAAACTGGATTGAACGTAAAATTCTATGGAACTGAGGTGCCTGGATAAAGGAAGACACATTTTACGCTCGGTGGACTTCAAGTGTTCAAAAAATACACAACATGACATTTTCTTGGGATCTTTTTTAGCTCCATTTCAGAATAGATGCATTTCTTCAAAATAAAAAGTAATCTGGAAATAGTTTTCCTCTTTTTGAAAGGACAAAAAGGTATGAATAAATGAGCTTCAGAAAGAAGTACAGTACAGTTTTCTTCACAAAGGATTGCTTCATTTCAGGTTCCAAGACAAATGCCACTTCAGAATGGCAGGTTTAATGAAACTAAAGAACTATTTATTCCCGACTTTCTCTCTCCATTTTTTCAGAGATATACTTCGGAAGTACGACAGGTCTTGAATTATCTGTTATTGAATCGTTTCACGATATTCATTACCCATACCACACAGAATTTCAGTCTGAAACGTGTTAAAAACCACGATACGACAAATTTTTAACGAATTACTGTATTTTTTTCAATGCACACTCACTTCCACAACACTTGATACAATCGAAGGAAAAGTCAGTCAAGGGAATAGTGTACTGTACAGTACTGTACTTACATCCGAAATGATGATATCTTCAAAGACCAACTGGTCGTTCAAACTCGAGATCCCTCGCACGGCATCCGGGTAGCACAAAATCACATGAAACTCCGTCAACGCCATCGACAAGGGCCTCCCGGCGCCGTCCGGATACGGGATCAGTCTCGCGGCCCCAATCACCGACTCACCCTTGCACTCAATTTCAGCGTGGAAAATACCCTCGTCCGTTACCCAGGCCAGGTACTTGGGCACCGACGAAACCTCGCCAGCGCGAAACAGCCTCAGGCAACTCGACGGCAGCTGCATCATGGGTGCGGTTCTCAGGCTCGGGAATTCTTGAAACTTGTCACCGGGGTCCCCGGTCACTGCGAATACTTGCCCAAGCAGGGGTTTTTCGTCGCGGGAGAATTTCGCGACGAATTGGTACAAACGGTTGATTGTCGTAACGACGACGCAATAGCGATCTTGATCCCCTGCAACAGAAAGTACAAATTACAGTGAATTTCTAATGAAAATTCCCCATTTAAAATATGTGAGCAATGAAAATAAAACACACCTGCCAAACCAGGATCGACCCAAAGTTCGATCCCACTTACGGGCCCTGCCCCTGTTCCCAGGTCAGCAACCTGTTTCCAATAAAGCTCACAACTGTTGCTGAAGAACCCTTCGTATTCTGCACCCAATTCTGCTTCGAAAATTAATCCTCTCGAAGTGCCAACTAGTATCGAACCGGTCCCGTCATCTCTGGCTGCTCTTGGGTTCCAACCAACTGCGGTAATCAAGTGGCCTTTCCATTTTACCAACTGCAATGAAGAAATTCGCACGCTGTCAAATTTAGTTCTTTGTTTCCGACAAAAAGAATGCTGTGCTTTTCAATTTCACGTAAAAGTTTCCCATCCCATATTTCTCTGTGCATTTGAATAGGTTTAACCAATCTTTTGCGTTTCATCAAGCCGGGAACTAACTGACATTTCGTACAAAATGAAAAAATGTTCAACTTGCCGGCCTTAATTTGCTGGTCTTCCAATTATAATAAAGCGCATCAACAGGAATTTCTCGGTTGATCTCCGAAACGCTAACAATCAGGTGTCTTCCAGTCGGGTCAAAAAACACCCCTGAGATTCTGTTGTGCATCGCAAACTTGGACAAATCGATTTCTTCTGGTCCTGAACTGCCTTTCGAGCCTCCAGTTCGCGGATCGATTTGAATCTTCAGCAGCATTTTGTTTTTCATAGCCAAAACAATTCTGTTCCCTCCGGACACCAAATGGGATAAATGGTGACTCGGGGAAAAGTTGACTTGCTGTCGAGTGAATATCGGTGGTTCCTCTTCCAGTTTCATGTTGATAAAACCAGTGGTTCCCTGAAAAAATAAATAAAAAATCCAATATCATGAATTTCTATCAAACCTCAAATTTTCTCGAAAATAACACATCATCTATCCAAAGAGATGATTCAAGCTGAAAATGCTTCGAAAATCTATGACACGCCGTAAATTGCTTCGAAATATGAATCAACTCAATTGCACAGGGTGAATCATTTGAACTAGACGAAATCTTCACAAACCAATTGAATCGCAAAAATGAAATGCAAACAAATTCACTAATTCAATTTCATTTCACGTGAAATCAACCAACATACACATGACTCAATTGTTAATTTAAAATATTACTACCAACGCTTCAAAATGAAAAACTGGTCATAGAAAAAGTTGCCTGTTGTTTCCTTACACGTGTCGCATATTTCCAACGTAATTTCCTACGCATTCAGTTCATATTACGCTCTGAACTTGTACAAAGATAATATTAAAATAATATATAATTATTTCTCACCATCACATTTTCCGGTCTTGCATTGATACCACTGATTCGTCCACGCGGGGCACGAGACGTGTCCCGTTCGTACTGCTCTAAGATAGAAGTCATGCTTCTAAAAATAAAAAACCAGAATTTTTTGAGAAAAAAAGAACTTTTCTCCAACATAAAAGTGATTCTCGAAAACTTATTGGCTCGAAACTGAATATCCTCAAATGCACAGCATTTCTTGCCATCAAGAAATGCTCTCCCGTCAAGACGAAATCGTTCGTGCCAATAAGTATCTCAATAAATATTCAATGCAAAAAATCAAGACGTAGCATAAAAATATTTTGCATCGCAAAAAATATAACAATCAATCAGAATCCAGACAAAACGGCTTTCACGTGCATCTTTGGTACCATTCTCGAATTTATAAATGATATCTCAAGGCCTCACAGTGTAGTTTCTTTTTCACATAATCCACAAAGCACACATAAAAAAAAAGATAAGCTTCATTTCTTCTTCACCAGCGACGATTCTTCATCATTCGCAACAAAGGCTGTGGTTGGTGGTGGGGGAGGTGGTTGGTGGTCTACCCCAGCCAGTCTGGTCGTGACTTGACAAAACTCGGCAATCAACTCATTGTTCTCTTGCAAAATGTCCCACACTTCTGCTTGCACGGCATACATTTCATTCAACCTGAAAATTTAATAAACTCTATCACCCAAATCTTGGAAAATAATTGGTCTGCAGTGATACCCCGGATAAACAAAGCCTCGTGAAATAAATTTATTTTAAAAAGGATTCGGGACGCCAGCTGTCGAAGAGGACAGAAGACTCCTTCGAAGCTATTCAAAATTGGGTGAATCTTAACACATCAGAAGAAGCAATAAAATTGCGCTCTAGTTCTCCGCGATCCTCATCACTCGAATCAGTATTATTTCCCCTCACAAACAAATTTTTAAAAGCCGCTACATTTGAAATGTAACCCCTGAACCAGGTTCAGGTTTCATCGACCAGCGACAGAATTCAGTTGGTGACTCGCGCTTTTCGTAGAGCTCAACAAATCTAACCAAAAACCCTTTTCCTATCGTTCCTTCAAGAAAAAAAAAACGCGAACCTGTTGACAGTATTCTTGACGTAGTCCTTGTTTGACTTCACTTTGGGCACTTGGTTACGATGTGGACGTCTCGGAGACGCAGCTGAACCATCAGCACCTCCAGTGGGAGAAGCCCGCTTCTTTTTCTCAGACGAAGTTTCAGACTTTTTCGCCACGGACAAACTGAGACGAGAGGAAAGCACAGATAATCCGGACTGAAATCGATCCTGAGCAAGATTGAGATTCGCAGCGAGAACTTTGGTAGCATCAGACGCTAAAACCAGATCCTTTTCCAAGACTTCTAGCTGAACGAAGTTCACTTGAGCGGCTCTGGAATAAAAAAATATACAAACGCTGAAAATTCTGAGACACATTACACGTAAAAATATGTATGCAAAATCTTACTTGAACCAATCTGCCAAAGCATCCGCAATGTGATTCAATGTAGGCACACATTCTTGCTGCAGTAGGCTTTGTATCAACTTGCTTGTTTCCTGCATTTTTATCTTTTCCAGCATGTGAAACTGCTCATCGTTGTAAGTGAGATCTGAAAATCAATCATTGTCATTAGCGTTTCCCAGCAGACTTTAAGTATAGTCAAACTTTCTGTGGAATAATACGTGGAATCAGTATCAGAAACACTTTAAACGGCTTTTTTATTAACTGAGTTTTTAATTTGTCTGAATATTTCATCCGTAAAATTTTTAAATACAATATTTATCGAAATTTAATTTTAAAAATTGTAACTATGGAACAAAATGAATGTACTCTACCTGATGAAATTAAAAGATCCCTCGCTTAGTAAAAGCAAGCAGAGACTACCTGAAATAATTAACATCTACAATCATTGCTTACACATAACCATAATAATTGAATTCACTGGAAAAAGTAATGTAGATACTCTATATCGTCAGAAGTACTGTAATTCGTTCCAATAGCTAATGCTAGATGCGTCAAGTAGAGTAATAAATATTTGAGTTTTTCGCTGAAGTTTATATTACTATCGGTAATCCGTCGTTGAAGAATTATTTCAATAAAAAAAAATATGTTCAATAGTTCCAGTCGCTTACTATGACCAAATATTCTCCTAACGTATGTTTAAGAGGAATTGACTAAATAACTGAGAATTCGACCCGCATTCAAAGTTTTCCAGATTTTACGACGTCCACATTTAAAAAAAAGGGGCATTTGATTTTCCATCACGACGACTCAAAGCACTCGACAATCGTTAACTGATCACTTCCTAGTGGTACCCACGAAAGCTTTATTTGATAATTTCTGACAAACGCCGGCGGAAACAATGGCAAATTAAATCTAACACAATCTAACACTGAGACACAATGACTAACTAAATTCAAAAGAATGATACAATATTTTACTTACTTCTCGCGGCACGATCCCTCAACAAGTGCTGCCAAGATTCCCTCAATTTGGCGACGTAAGTAGCAGCCTTATTAAACGCTTTACCGACGTCGAAATCCCTTTGAACGACGTTTTTCGTATTCGACGCGGCACTTTGCATAAGCTCCTTCTCGGCATCCTCGAGCGCCTCGTTCCACTGCCTTCTCATACTCTCTTCGTCCACCAGTTTCCGATGCAGCGACGAAATGGACGAGTAAATACCCGTGAGCTGGTGTTCCACAGTGGAACAACTCGCCGTTTTGTCACTCACGAGATCCTCCAACTGAGAGCACAAATCGTCCACATTGTCACTACGCGAAGACGCGGCCAGGGGAAACACAGCCGAGGCTGAGGCCTTTGCCAGCAACAGTCTCTGTTTCAGGCTCAGGGCCAGGGCTAAAGCTTCTTCACTTCTCACTAACAGTTCCTGAGTACGCTTGACAACGACTTCAGTGAGCCAGCCGACGGCTTCGTAGCTTCGCGAATGAGCTTCTCTGATGTCTTCCACGACGCGTTTCACTGCGTGCGCGACACTGCACGTGACTTTGGCTGTGGAAGCATCGTTTTCCACGGATATCACCGTAGGGAAGTTGGGGAATTTGGGAAGTCGCGATGCACTCGAAGTGATTGTGGTGCATCGCACGTTATTGTCTTCTCGGTCGAACATGGCCATGGATTCGAGGTCTGGGGTTTGGGGTGTGAAAGATGCTGTCCGAAACGCTCTGCAAAATAAATCCTAAATAAATTAACTTGCCGTATTTTTTCGAGTAAGACCTGCACCAAGGTTTCTCATCCAAAAATTTTGATTTAATTCATCCCCTAGTTCGACGCAACAATTTTAGTGACTAAAATGCATATTTTAAAAATGACAAGCAAATTTGGATTAAGACGTGAATAGGTCATGAATTCAACTACTTTCCAATGATTTCAATTTTTCAACGTTTTTCTGTTAAGACTGGTCCAAAATTTTCCATCAGAATCGAATATAATGCACAATTAAACTTCCGAAATTTTTTTGAAGAACAGAACGCCACATCGGAACTAACGAGTAACATCAAATTAACATAATTCAATCCAGCTCACAACGAACTTAACGTTGAACAGGACAACCTTCAAACAAAACTAATTCTTCACATGAAATTACTGAACCCGGCTCTTAATAGACGCTTCGTCCACCAACTTACTCAACAACGAACTCGCCTAAAATTACATAGACAAACAAGTGATGCTTCATAAAAAAGCTCATACGAAAATGTACCTGGAAGAAGCTTGACCACTCTGCCATCGTTTCCATTGTTCATCCAGACCATCCAATATAAACCCATTGCGAAGCAAAATCTGCGCGTCGGGAATAACTTTTGTCTGACTCTGTATTAGTCTTCTGAAATCTTCAAACGTTTCCGTCGTAGGGTCCAAAAAAACAGTGATGTTCGAGGTAGTGTTAACACAGTATACTTTGATGGGCTTTCGAGCCAAGACTCTCGTGACTTCGGCAAAAAATTTATCAAACGTCCACATCTTCAACGGATCTACCTGAAAATTCAAAAGAAATTTCTTCATAAATCTAGGCTTAAATCACCAAATAGAAAGCAACTAGGAAAAACACATTCCTGACCAATACTTCTGCATCAACAAATTCTTGTACAGCAATGAAAATTCCCTTTTATCTCCCTTAAATTGAAAAAAAGACCCTTTCCACATACGGAAAGATGTCGTTTAAAAAATTCCAACATTCATGAGTTATATGAAATTTTTCCACACAGAGATTTCCTGATGCCAAAAACTGTTTTAAATCTACTTTTCGGATAAAATGAAGAACTTCCTGACGATAGAAAAATTTCAATACAATTGATCATCAGTGCTTTCTTTCTGAAACGCTCGAAAAAATAAAAAGATAACAAACCTCCATCAAGCCACCCAGTAACGCAGTGACATGAGTCTGGAGTCCCTTCGACAACAAGCAAGTATCCGGAAAATCTCTGCTCCATTCAATAGGTCCGTTCTCCGAGGTCTGAATCCCCGATATCACACCAGACGCCTTTTCCGTCGTGATGTAGTGCATAGTTTCTTTGTTCTTTCTCCCACCGAAGGGTCGAAACGGTAACTGTCCAGTTGCAACGTGAAAAAGAGTCACTCCGATAGACCAGAGGTCGACACTGGCGTTGAACGTTTTTCCCACAGGTTTTCTCAACACCGCGCGTTCGTACATGTCTGGATGAAGGTATTCTTCGGTTCCGTAGAGAGACATAAACTGCTGATCATCATCAAGCTCTCTTGCAGCTCCGAAATCAGTGAGCTTGTAAATGGTGCTGCCGTCAGGGGCAACGAACTTCATGATGTTTCCGGGTTTTAAATCTCGATGAACCATATTCAAGTCTCGTAAATGCTTCATTCCCGCAGCTGTGAACAGAAACGCTTGATAAAATACCAGTAAAGATACAAAATAAATGGAATACTCACAGAGATGCGCGAGAACATGAATAAATTCTGTTTCTTCCAATCCGTAGGTGTTTTCAGGATCGTCGAGGATATTGAAAAGACTCCCACCTGTACACAATTCCATCACGATCACTTTCCCGCGCCCGTCAACTTCTTCCTCGATTGCAAGCAGCTTGACGATATTCTCATGCTTGACTTTCTTCAAAACTTCGAACTCCCGCATTTGCACTTCTGGCGGTCGCAGATGGCTGACTTGATTGAAAGTTTTGACAGCCACCGGTTCTCCATTGTGCTGAAATAAAATTGTAAGATTAATCATCACAAAACACAAGAAATACAACGCTTACTTAAATCTGACTTTACGCAAAAACAGGTTAAAAATAGAAGGTATTTTTTTTATGCACGATGGCTTCCTTAATTCGCAGATTTAAAATACACGCGCTTCATCTTGTTCAACATCCTTTACTGTACTTTAAAAGCACATGAAGTCCGCTATTGATCAAATCCGTGCCATAACTTCTGATTATAAGGGCATGAAAGTTAGAATCCTGATTTCGATTGGAAACGTTTCAGGAATTGAGCTGAAAATTGACGCATGATTAGAATCAACTGAATTCCGATGGAGAAAATATACTGAACTTGATGAAATTCCATTTTTCTTTCTTTTTTTTCTAAATCACGAAAATTAGATACGGTGTACATATGATGACGCCGATTAGCTAGAGGTCAATTAAGATGATTACTTACTTTGTTGACACCCTGATACACAGCTCCGGTAGCTCCTTTGCCGAGCACACTGGTTGTGCACCAGACATAATTCATGGAGCCACGAAGGTAGGACATCTTGCTCGTTTCGGCGAGATTCACTTCATACTACTGCTTCTGAGAAAATCGACGGTATCTACTCATCAAAAACCGAACACCAGGAAAGTACTTAACGCAAAAACTCGCGGAAACGCGGGTAAGTTTGCATAAGTTGTCACAAGTTACAACACCGAACGCAGGTATTTCGTGAACAACTGCTTGCTCGAAAGGAACGAACCACACGAAAGCCAGTCACATGAATGTCTGCAAACTGTCAAGCGCAGACGATTCACAAGAGCACTCTCACCAACGAGGAATGCAGAGAGAATGATTTCGCAATGATTTTCACTTCCGTGAAAGCATCCGCTATCAGATGATCACCGGTCCAGAACAGAAAGTCACGAACATTTGCGCACTGCTTTCGCTCTCCGCTAGGTGTCGCTCGATTACACTAACATGCGAAGCCTTAGGATTTACGTTCAGTGCTGCGTGCAGTTTTATTTTAGTTGACTCAGCAGACAGGCTTCACGCCCTTCCTGATGGAAAATTATATAATGCCTCATTTCTCAACACCGTCGTCCTTCAACTTATTTCTAACTGCTGTGGAAAAGGAAGTTCTTTTCGCTCGATTATTTCAAGTATGTCTTTGTTGATTGCTGCTGTCCGATGTGTCAGAAAATTATAGTAAATTTAATAAATTTGTACAACTGCAAATTTTATGAAGAAATTTCTCAAACGTGAATACGTGATAGTGAAAATAAATCATGACATAGCCCATGATGTTCTAAGGTTCAGGGGTTTTTGATGGATTATTAGGATTTTTTCAATTTACTTCATGATGATAAGCTGTGAGAAAAACCTCCCATTATTTACAGCCGGAACTATTTTATGGAATGCACCGAAGGATTAACTCACAGGAAGGTTAGATAGGCTCAATAAGTTTATGAAAGCACCAGATTATTTGTTGGAATGCAGCATATAAATACAATAACAAAAAACTGAGGCAGTTCAAATTGGCTTAATAAGTTTATGAAAGGACACCATATTATTTTGTATAGAATGCAGAAAATATTTGCATTGAGGAAGATCAGACAATAAGCTCAAGAAGTTGCCAAAAGGATTACAATCAATCCTCTCACAATTATCTCGAATTCTTGAGAGTACACAACAGCAGCAGGTAGAAAAGAATTAAAGCATTTGATTTTTTTTTTCGTTTTAGATTCAAGTGAAGGCAAGGCATGAATTCTCAAACACAGGGACAAGGTTTGACTTACAGCAAGGACCAATTGTACTATACAGTGCAATACACTGAATCTCTCTATATAGTCTATAACAAAATTTAAGGGACCAGAATACAGTACATTTGTTGTAGAGAACCCTATACATGGGACCATAAAAAATCATTATACAAATAAAAATGTAAAAATGCTTTGGACAAGATTTTTGTGGAGAGAGTCCATCTGCATAAAAATATATATATAATATATAAATATGCTTAGAATGATTCAAGTCCAGTTTTGAAAATGCACAATCTTTAATTTTCAAACATCAACGAACTGTTTTTCTTTTTTTGGAACAGCGCAGTCTCGTACACGCGCGTCAAAATATCCTTGATCATCAACAGAGATTTCTAACACCGTGTTAGCACTCCATGTTGAAAAGGTATCCAGCAGCGGGATCAGCATATTCACATAAAATCTGCTCTTTTCTTCTAGCACATCAAGCCAACCATCCACGGTTTACATCATACAAAGAGATCCACTGGATGTCATGCACATCGAATCATGACAACGGCGAAAATACAGGGACACGTCCAACGAATATATCCTCATATTCCCAGCACACAAAAAAAAAAAGAATCTTCAATAAAGTCGCTGAATTAAAAATCCTCCAGTATCAGCAGCACCTTTCATCACACCTCCAGCACAAACTTCGGCATATGTGTCCCAACATCGAAGAAAAACAGAAAACACTTAAGAGACATACACATCCCCCAGGAATGATGTTATTGGTCTACCAAATATTCAAGTCGGAGCCCGTGTGATGAGCAAATGTGCATGTCCAATAGCACATCACCGGAGGAAACTTCCACCATCACAGAGCTTCAACTTTTACTACCACCACTCGTTTCTTCGCTTCTTTTTTCCCATAATTTCGATTTCCGGCCGAAAAAGTGACACAGGTTCGTTTTTTCCCCATCAAAATTCCTGACCCAGTTTTTTAAAATTTCGATTTTAAGATGGAAACTGCATGTGTTCTCATCATCTCTGTCGATCCGATTATTCCCCACATTTACTCGAATACAGGATGCTTTTCGCTTCATTCATCAACTTTTAAAGTTATTAATTGTTCGATTTAAAAAAGAAGAAAATTACTGCTTGATCCCAAAGGTAAGATTACTACCTCATTATCTGCAATAAGACATGTTTTACTATAACTGGAACTAAAAACGGCGCAAGGACTTCAAAAAGAAAATGCGAAGAAGCGTCCGGAAACTGGTTTTACGAGTATTATTTTAAAGGCAACATGCTATTCAACTGACAGGAGAATCAAAATTGACAATTGATATAATCCTGTCGTAATATAAATGATTACCTAATGTTGCCACATGATTCAAAATTTTAACATAATTTTCGTGGATATATTTCACTTAAAAATTGGTGCGCATAAAGCAAGCAAAATTTTGCGAGAAAACTTCTTCTTTTGTTTCATGGAGTGAAAAAAAGAATTGAGGTTCATTTTTGGGATTCATTATGGCACCTTAAATTCAAAATAAATGCGGCAAAATTCGATTCAACAGAAACATGCGAAAACAGAGGGTCGGAATTCCAACACAGGAAGGAACCCCTTTTTGTCTCATGCTGACATGATCATTTCTTTTTTTTTCTTCCTACATCAACGCCGACACATTGTATCAAAAAACATTTTTCATAGACACCAAGGCCATGCAGAAAATAAATACATCATCGCAAAACCGAATCCTCTCTTCTTCCGGAAGAAGATTAAATAAAAACTGTTCCTGCCTTCTCAGGAAAAAGCTATTTATAACATTTTCGAAAAAAAACAACCACACGCACGCCTCGGTGGAGAAACCGGAATCTTACTTTTTGGGGGAAATTTGAGAGGGGGGTTTTCTTTCCAAATTTCTTTTTTTTTCTCTCCTCGTTGACAAAATAAATTAAGACCTCGCTGAGCTCGTGGGAGGAATGAAGTCTTTCAGTCTGCCAGTCACAAAGCGGTTCGGTTCGCCATCAATCGACTCATCACACGTATCACATACCGTTCCTCTTCCTATAGCTTCCCACACTTTTGTTCGTCCACTTTCGCACACTTGGAAAACGCCAAAAAAAAAAACAGGAATGGGGGACGACGCTTTTTCTTCCTTGTGTTTTCGTTTTCTTCCCTTCCCTATTACAAAGAGCGACACACTCATGTAAAAACAGCAATATACGGGGAAACCAAAAGTGGCCTTGTTTTTTTTTTTTTTTTTTTAGCGAGACAGATCGTGGTGTTCATTTGTGCTGCCATTTGTCTCATGATGGTCGTCTCTGCTGCTGGCATTGGCAGGAGTGGATGAGCGAGACGAGGATTTGCCTTCCGGCTTGTTTTTGCACAAGATGTGCTTCAGGTTCTCCACTTCCGACGCGAGTCTGTCAATCTCGGATTTAAGCTGGTAGTTTTCCGCCTTCAGCCGTCGACCTCCTTCTTCTGCCAGGGCCTCGTCCGAACGTTCTTCCGATTTCTAATGAATACAAGATTGAAAAGGATTCGAATGAGACACATAATAATTATTTTTCGCCGATTATAATTAGCCTTAGCAGCCGAATCTTTCCAAAAACTTCTTCCAATTGAATCCTGAATTTAATGAAGTACATAAACTCATCCCTTACTCGTAAAATCACTCTCAGAGGAAATTATTGAATTTTTGAGTTTAATTAAGCGCGGAAACCTAAAATACTAATTTTATTTCCGGCTTAATTTCATGAAAAAAAACTACATTCGTTCTAATTAACATGATAATATACCGTAGATATATTCGAGAAGGAAAAACGAAATTAATAAAATTGTGCATTAAAATGTCACAAAATCAAGCTCTTCATCATTTGAAGATTAGCGCATTAAAAGAACTGATGAAGCAACCCTCGCACTTCGTATACTCGGAATATTCGAATGAAAAGCTCACCACAACAACGAACGGCGCAGACGAAGTCGACGAAAACGACGACGACCTCGAGGATCCACCGCCGCCACCAATTTCCGTGGGATCCCAAGGCGGCGACCGTCCGTCTCCACCAACACTACCACCGCCGCTGCTTCCAGAACCAACGCCGCCACTGCCGCTATTGCCACCTCGCGCCGGCGGCGACAAAGACGAGCTGCTGTGACTCGCCGGGCTCATCATGCTGTCACGCTCGTCACTGGATCCGTTGCCGCTGTCGTGGTCGACACTTCCCGATGTGACAGCCGACGTTTCCACGATGATCATGCGGTCTTGCTCGTGGTCCAGGTCGTCCATCATCATGGAGGCGGATGAGTAGCGGGGTTTCAGCCGCAGTTTCGGGTGATGGGATGCCCCCGAATTGTTGGGCCCGTTGGCGGAATTGGGGCAATTTTCTGCTGATCCTAAATAGAGGAGAGAGAATAAGTAATGTATTCCTCCTGTATTACAATCTCTCGAGATCGCACACATTTATTAAAAGATGAACACTTTTCAACTGGGTGACACAAGGACAACTAATTTTCCTGTGATACAAAAATCGATTTAAAGTGAGTCGCCACATGACGAAAGACCCCTACAACGGAAAATTCGGAAAAATAAATTTCCAATGGGGGAAAAAAATAACACAACGAAATTTTTTAGCCGAAAAAATTTTCAAAAGTCCAATAAGTTTTTGAGTACAATTTGTGAAATGAGGAAAATAAAAAAGGTACATTTCTTCCTCACGACCTTTGAAATTTGTGAAAAAAAGACAGATCAGAGCACAAATGTCAGGATACTCGAGTTTCACACTTACTGTATACGTACTGCAGTACTGTACAGCATATATATTTTCACCCTTCTTAGTCTCTACAAATTATTTCTTTAAACGTCAATTGATGTGTTTAAACTTTTAAGTATAACGCGCGTGACAAATTTACAAAATTTCCAGTCGTACAATATTTCCCTTCAGAATTACAGTATTTTACGAGTAAATTTTGAAACAAAATTAGAAATAATATTTGAAAAATGCATGATGCGAATCCCCAGTTTGTGGGCTCAATTTTCGAGGAAAATCATCTTACCATTCGAGTGAGAAGCATGTTCTTCTCGTCCACCACCATTCCTCAGGTGCTGCTCAGCATGATATCTCGCCTGTTCCTGCGGGGCAGCGAAAAAATGCTGCTGCTGTCCAAACTGCCCACCAGAAGCTTCTACAGACGCCAACTGCTTGTGCACTCCAGCACCCCGAAACATCACTTGCTGTTGCTGCTGGGGAGCCGGTGTTGTTGGCGCGACACCTGGCGACGTGGTCGACAAATTCAGTGCACCTTCGTCTTCGTCTTCCTCACCACCGTGTCGCATCATGACATGATCCTCGTCCAATTCTTCATCGTCGTCGTCGTGTTCTTGCTGTCGCTGTTGTCGTGACGGCATGTAATGATGCAACTGCTCGCTGCGAGACAAGCCGAGATCCACGCCTTCGTCTTCGTCTTCTGTGAGCGTGTTGCGACGCATGGCGAGTTTCAGGGCATCTGCGGGGTGTTGAAGGAACTGGAAACCTTCCTTTTGTTGTTGCTGGTGGATCGAGAGGCTGATTTGATGGTGTTGCTGGTGGTGGGTGTTGTTGTTGTTGTGATGCATGCGGCGCTTTTCTCCGATCCTCTGGGTCGGAATGGAGCCGATTTGTTCCTCAACTTCTGCAATTTTGTCTTCGTCTGAAGCGCCATTCACGTGATTCATGCCGCCTTCCGGGACTTCAATCTTTATTCGCTTTTCGCTGCAATTGGAAGAAGAAACGAAAATAAACTCCATACTCTACGATCATCGAGAAAGATATTCATACAATGATTCCAAAATATAATACTGTACGATTTTGGAATAAAATTTTGCTCATCAAAATTTGTTTCGGAGAATTTTGATTATTTTTCAAAACCAATGTTTCCAAGATGAAATTTATTTCTAATTTAAAAATTTCTTAAATGAATAATAATAAAGTAAAATAAATCGCCGTACTGTGTGAACAAATGCTTCAAAACATTCTCAGGAAAATTTTATCCATAGCATTATAGTAAGTAGGATAATTTGAGAAGAAAATCATTCGGAAAATATGGAGAGAAAATTCCTTTTGAACTGCCGCATTTTTAATTCATGTACGGTACTTTTGAATGTTCGATCTGTTTTCCTTTTTCATTTTAAATAGCCATTGAATAAATTACGATTATTGCTGCCATTCGAAGAATTCACAACTAATTTCGCCTTTTCTTCTTTTTTTAACATAAACGCGATAGATGAAGAGAGAAGCAGACCTCGGGGTAATCAACACCTTCATACTGATTATTACAGTACTGTACTTTCGAGTGTGAGAAGAACCCACCCATTGAATGCACTGCTGAACCGTCCATTCCTTTGCTGCTGTTGCTGCAAGTGATAGGCGTTGAAGACGTGCTCATCCCCATCACTACCATCCTGGTGATTCTGCTGCTGCTGCTGTTGGGGGAGCATTAGCATAGCCCTGTGGGCGTGTGGGTGCTGGTGATGGTGTTGCTGGAACGGCGGAAGGTTGTGGTGGTGGTGCTGGTGCTGTTGGCCCGGGAAAGACGGCGGTTGGGCGTCGTTGGGACTCGGTCTGGGCACGTCAGGGATGACGAGCGTGATTGGCGGCTCCACGGGAGTGAGAGCAGCTGGCGCCCGTTGTTGTTGTTGCTGCTGCTGCTGCGGCGGCATTGGTGGCGGCGGCGGCGACGGGAACGCCTGATGCGGCTGTCGCGACGACGGGAAGTGGTCCTCGCTGGCTGACGATCGGCGCCGTCCTGCGTTCACCAGCTTCGTCTACGAAAAAAAAAATATTTCAAAATTCAAGAACAAGACTTTTTAACAATCAATTGAAATTTTCATCCTTGTGACTAAACGTTCCAGAGCAATGAAGTAATGAAAAAAAAAAGAAATTCCATCAACAAATTTTTAAATAATAATGCGGAAACAATTGTTTTCTTTTCATCTTCTTCTCTTAAAAAGATAAGCTGCAGTAAATTTATCATGCGTCTGGAAAATGACCATTTTACGGCATCAGTAGATTTCTTGATTTTTTTTACCTGGAAAGGTTGCATTGGACTCCTGCCCACATTCGGTGGTGTGATTCTTCCCGTCGGCGTCGTCGCCCTCGACGACGGCGATCCGGACATGCTCATCGACGACGGCGACGAGGACGCCGCTGCCGCCAATACTTTCGTAGTCCTCTTCGTCATGGCCAGCACTTGATCTGGTGTCGGCAACGAGGCCAACACGGCGTCCTTATCCACCAACGCGTCCACGTTGATCCTAGGGAAATAAATAAATCATGGTTTGAAGTAGAAGATCGATTTTTTGTTTTAAATAGGGTGCCCAAAAATCAGGGTGTGGCCATAAAATTTAGACATTTATTGATTCAATTAATTGTCTTCAAGAAACTGACAATTAAATACAGTACAGTATAAATAAATTATTGATCATGGTTGGGAATAACTTTTCTCCATAAAATTTAGGGTGCTGAAAAAGCATGGTGTATCCATTGATTTAATCAATTGCATTCAAGAAACTGAAATTTTAAAATAAATAAATAAATCATGGATTAAGGTAAGGGAATTATTATTTTTAATTAGAGTGCCAAAAATCATGGTGTGGCCATTAAATTTATGCATTTATTAATTTAATTAATTGTAATCAAAGAACTGAAAGTTAAATACAGTATAGATAAATTATTGATAAAAGTAGGGGAATGATTTTTCTTTTTAAAAAATTAGGGTGCCTAAAAATCGTGGTGTGGCCATTAATTTTATGCATTTATTCATTTAATTAATTTTATTCAAGAAACTGACATTTAAATATAAATAAATTATTGATTAAGGTAGGGGAATGATTTTTATTTATTTTTATTCAGGGTGCCTAAAAATCGTGGTGTGGCCATTAAATTAATGCATTTATCAATTTAATGAATTGTATTCAAGAAACTGACCTATATTTGTCCCTCACGGCAGCCAATTGGGCCTTGAGCACGTGCAATTCCCGCGTCAACTCCACAACTCTCTGCTCCAGGATCATGTCATTGAATCGCCTCTTTTCCCGGGACCGTTTCGCCGCCTCGTTGTTGCGTCGACGGCGGTCCCAGTAGCCCTCGTCTTTCCGGTTGTCCGGGATAAATTCCCGCTGCTTCCGTTGGTTGAAAATCTCGCGACGCTTCAACTGGGCCGCCGTCAGTTGTTCCACCGTTTCTGGGTTGAGATTTTCGCCAGGCGACGCCGCCTTCTGCTGGTCCATCAGCGCCGACGGCGGCGGTGACGATGAGGAGGAGGAAGAAGAGGAGGATGATGATGATGGCGGCATCATTCCACGGGATCCGTGCTGTTGTTGCTGCTGCTGCTGCTGGCGTCGCACTTCGATCTCTACTGCGTTCTATAAAACGGATAAAATTCGGAAACATTTTAAAAACTACAAATTGAAACCTGATCGCATTATTTGTGAAAGAGTCACGTCAGATTTTTGGTTTGGGATATTCGAGGAAATTTTCGCAATTCGACAGCAAAAATTCGAATTTTTTCCCCTTTGATTCCTCATTTTTTGCATGATTTTATTTAAAGCTTTCATCGAAAATGAAAATATTTTGCATGAACGTCAATACTAGAACCTAGAAGTGAGTAAGTTGCCAGAACTTTACGTCATTCGTAGACATTTTATTTTTCTTAAAGAGGATTATCACCCCTGATCTTGAATTAATTCAGTAGATATTCTAAATTCGACAAAGAAGTAAATCTCGCCTGCATCGTCATCATTACCTTTCAGAAACACTCTGGGGTTGCAACTTCTGGTTGACACAAAGAGGAATTGTATAATATTTTTTACAAGGGTGAGAAACACGTGACTGGGAGGATGAACAAAAAAAAAAGTAATCTTTTCGACGCGAATTCTCTTTTTAATTTGCGCGCGCAGAAAAAGAAAACATTCAATTGATCTCATATTTGTATTTTGTTTGATCCATTTTCCCTTTTTTATTCAATTGAACAACCGTACTCATAGATATTTTTTCCAAACAGATTTTACTCGAGAGAAATACTCAGAGGCACCCGAAGAAAATTCGTTCGACAGTGATTATTTTCAGGAGCTCTTTACTATAGAAAATAACTGCGGGTTAAAAAAAAAAGTTTCACTTTCATCAGCCTTTCCATCTTTGCTCATTGAATGTGAAAATTTTCATAATTGAGATTAGACCTGTGTTAATTACAGCATTATTTTGACGCAAATTTTCAATTGTATTCATGTGGAATAAAGAACTGCGTTCGATTATTACGGAATATAAAATACACACACAGTATTTCCATTTAAAAAAAAGCTGCGTAAATATTTTTGCGCTCTTCCAGTATTTTTCCCCCATTGCAAATTTTGTTTTCTCCAAATGTGCGTTTCGACGGGAGTTGACCCGATTTCATTCCATTTTTTCTCAGTGGGTTGAATTGCATGAATTCCGGTCTCAGGACTCCGTGACTCGAGTCCTGACGTTCGAAAAGAATAAAAGGCCTTTTCATGTACTCAAGCAGCTTTTTTTTTTTCATGCACAATTCCGACGGGTTCATGGCTCACTGGGAAATTTTGAGGAGTCGTTCACGAACTGAACCCGAGACCCCAAAGACATGGGCAGTACTAGATTTTTCCTGCTTCAATAAATACATATACTAACGAATTGATCATGATTTTTTTTAACGTACTGAACTGAACTACTTTCAAGAATCTTGAAGCTGTGTACGTAAGAAAATCTAGAGACAAAAAAAATACCAATCATTTCAGAAAGCTCAGACTTCATACCCCCCAATAAATTAATTATTTCTTCGCTTTTACTCCATCGTGATTCGGAATGACAATTATAAATTCATATAAAAATCAGCGGGAAAAAAATCAAGAAAACCGTCCAACTTGGACTCGTAAGAAGTTCGGTCAAGGTTTCTCCAGGAAGTTACAAGAGAAAAACGCTCGCTCATCACCGGAAAAGTGGAGGAAGACGTGACCGTCGCCTCTCATTGATCCCAACTCCCGACACGTGACAGGCACTAATTGACAAGTCCCTAATCCAGATCCCGTGGTTCTCATTATCTCCAAGTCTTTCTTCATCTCCCTTGATCCGATTACCTGTACACTTAAAACCCCCACGGGGTTTTATTCAAATTAGGGATTCGCACAGAATGTACAAAAATGTGCTTTTTAAAATTTGCATAGAAGTTTAATCAATCAATTGATACACAGCGAAATCTCGTTACAACGAAGTCCAAAAGCCCCGTGGAAAAACTCCTTGCACTGAAAAAAAAATCGTACTCACGGGTTTTCTGTGACGTTTACAACTAAAAAACCGTGGGAACCAGGTGATACATTTTTATTTGCATATAAATGTACTATATTGTATATTCAAAACGTGGAAGAGGTCTGAAAAAATTGCTCACGGCAGAAAAACAAAAAATCCCAATAATTCAAAAACGGAAAATATCCTCAAATTGTGACAGCAAAAATTTGTCACCTTTTGCGCATTTTTCAGTCTCTGCAAAAATGTCCGCAGGCGTGAATAAAATGGTGATTATCTCAGGGAAAAAATTTAGTAAAAGCAGAAAATATCCTCACCATTCTATGTAAAAGAGTTTACCGATTCATCCCTTAAATTGACACATACAACTACGCACAATTTCCTGACCCAACCACAAAATTCCACACGATTTTACATTTAAGTTGAATCAAGATTGAACATAATTAGGACAGTCTTGCCAAACGAAGAATTATAAGACAAAAGTACAAAACTGAAATATGATTAAAACACTGAAAAAAGTTTTTTAACTAAATGCTCACAAAATTCGAGCACAAATAGGACAATATCCGCAAAAACACCTCAACCCACGTAAAATATCCCACAGCAATTTTTTTGTTTTCAATTCCGCCTTCTGTTCAAACCAGTGACCGAAAAACATTCAAATGGGAATTGCACAAACTTTGATCTACTGCTTTTAATTTATTTTCGAAATGCGAAAGCTCATATTGAATCTAAGATAAAATCTTGAAACCCGTCACGTACACCCTGTACATTTTACACACCCTCCAAAAAAAAATCAGCACCCTGATTCGAATCGCAAAAGGAAGGAAAGCGTTTCGACAAGATGAGCTCTCCAGGAATAGGAAGCTAAAACACCTCATCAAGTCGCCGGGTTTTAGCAAAAGAGCCGATGGATTTCCGGGTACACACAGAAGGACAACAACTATTCCTATAGAGTATAGTAGACTTCAGGGATATCATCCGTCTCAAGAGCTTTGGGATTATTCCAAACACTACTACACAGTAGTACCTGCACAGAGGAAAATGAGAAAGAAGCTTTTCATACTCCTCACAATCCGAACACAAGAAAAAAAATATCCCATACTCGCAATTCTCATAAAGATTGTTCCTAATTAAATTTTACCTTATTTCGTCCCGTGCGATCGTATTAAAATTTAATAACGCATGGACTCCGGGATCCTCTTTCGATTTTTTACAGCTTTTTTTTAGTTTCTAAAAAAATCAGAAATGTCACTGTACCACTGCCATGAAAATTCAATGTTTTCAGCGTTTCCACGTCTTTTTGCTGAACTCTTGAGAATTCGCAAGTCATTATGCACGTATTCTAGACTTTGCACTAACTTCATCATGTCAACCAAGCACGCGTTCTAGTTCAAGAATGTATGAATTTACTCCAGTCATGGAAGTTTTATTTCGGTATCCCAAGCACTCGAATCAATCTCCCAAAAATCTTCGAATTTCAAACCTTTACACTTTTCTTAAAGCCGAAAAGTGTCAATTGAAGACATTTCATCAGAAAGATATAAAGTTATCTGTGTTTGATTCTAATACACAGGTGGAATGCCGTCTATAAAGCATGAGTTAGAATCCCGTTCCAACGAATTTTGTTCATGTCGAAGGAGATTTTACTGAATTTTCAAACGTCACGAGGATCTTCGGCCTCCCATGGGAAAAGATGCTACTGGATAAATCTTGAAATATTTGCAAAAAGCATTCGCTATGAAGAGTTTCCCAGTCATATACGCAAATAATTGGCATTATTTTCCAGGAATCTTACGTTGAGGCGGACGGCAAAGTAAATAGAGCCGAATTTAGAACACGAATATTTTCGCCAAATGTAGTATAACTGCAATTAGGCAAAATACCGTAGTGCTACATTTAAAACATAAGCACATTCCCTCATCGTACAAAAATTTATGAATGAATTCAAGTAAGCATACGAAATGGCGTAACATCACTTCTCAAGTTACAAAGATGTCACTTGAATCGCGCGACAAATTACACGATACTCTGGTTAGGACGCGTTGCTCAAGCTACTGACTCACACGACATCTATCCGACATCACTGATATAGAGACAGCCAAAGACTAAAATTAGGACATACGAAAAAAAAAACTGACCTGCGGAAACGCAACGCTG